TCTTCCTTCAGTTCTCACAAAACAGGCCAAACTGCATCTCTTGTCATGACTGACAAAGCAAAAAGAATGCTAACCAAGATAGTAAAATAAGAGTTATGGGTTATGAAGATCCAATAAAACACACCCTAAGAAACATGTAGTTGGTGTGTAGCAGGGAAGTACCCAAAGCAATTTCTGAACCACTAGCAATTATCTTCAGGAACTGAGGATGGAGGCAGTAAGGTCTCAAAGAACTTACGAAAGACAATGCAAGGGAAAAAAAGAATGCAATAAATACATTTATCAGTCAACCTTAATACACAGAAAATTTACCAAGCAAACTCAATCACTTTAAGGAGTCTCTAGAGATGATAAAGTGATCAATGCCAAACATCAGAAAGATAATTTCCAATAAAATTCTGCTGAAACAATTTTTTAATTTTTTCTTTAAACACACATGAAAGCCACAGGGGGTAAGGAGCAAGTAACTCCATAGGCATATTCTGACTAAATGCTGAAATACTGACACAAAATGAGTTTCATAAGCTACTAGGAATAGTCAATAAGTAAGTCTTAAGCTGCATGCAGCCTGCCAATAACCCCAGTGTACCTCCCACATTAGAGCTATAACACGTGAACTGTCCATCAGCCATGCTGGTTTGAGCCAGCAGGGCCACATCCTAAAACTGTAGTGGTGCAAGGCAGACAGGTCTTACTGAGGACTCTTGGACCACCTGAGACCAGTGCACGACCTGAACAAACCCTCCTGCAGTGGACCCTTTTAACACTACTCTAATAACTTTTCAAGATGTCCAGCAATCGCAAAGCCAAGTGGTTAATGAGACCTACTTGAGCAAACATCTAAAACTGAGGTGTTCCTGCATTTTGTATCCAAATGTCACTCAAACTTTAGGGTACCCAGGGAAGTTTTGCAGATAATTTCAGGTCTTAATATTAATGAATGTACAGCTGAACACTGTGCATTAGCTATGTCCAGTATATCAAATGCTCTAAAATGCACTTATACCTCTTTCCTGGCCATCTCTTGGAGCCGCCTGGGTAGGCGTTTAATATTGTGACTCATCGCTCGCCTTCGCATGTGCCTGGGTAGAGTCTGGAAAACTAGAGAGTTTGAAGACTTCTGCGAAACTGCTTTCAACATGGCATTGATTTCAGCAGCACGAGCTTGAGCAAAGGTAGACACTGCATCAGAAAAGGACTGCATCAGAGCATGACAAATACCAAAAAATAAAGAGAAGGATACTGTACATAAATTATGGAATTACTCCTAGTATATCAGTTCAATACTTGACATAAAAGTAAGTACTGCACACTATTAATGAGGAAATTTCAATTCTTTAGATATCCTGAAGCTTACAGATACGTTCAAGCAAATATTTATACGTGAATGAATCTGAAAGCCGTGGTATAACCAACAAGTCCTATTTGCATTAAACAGTTCTTTGTTAAATTAAAATAGCAATCTTTTCAGATGGTATTCAGAGACATGAAAAGAACTTCAGCGTGGAGAAAAAAAGGAAGCAGTAATCACATTACAGACTGCTTTAAAATGATCAAATAAAAATCTAGAACTTGGTCTTGTTTTATGCTTATGGAGGTCTATCCACTATCAGAGCACTGTCACATTTTGCAAACCTAATCTGCTCTCCTAAATAAACGTTCTGTTAGACAAAAAGCTGTCTTTAACTTACATCATGGGTAAAATCAGTTTCACTGGCTACATTAAAAGCAGATGACTGTCGGTACTCATTTTGCTGGCAAACAGAAACCAAAATGCATATCCCTCACTACAAGCAGGTGCAACTTTTCAACTCAGAAGTCCGAAAGGACCCATTGAACAACAGCTGGTCATTCATTCCAGTTCACAACTACTTCTGTGTTTTGGAGAAAATCAGGAAAAACAGAAGAACATAGCATCAGTTCTAGTTTTTGCTCTTGCACAAAAACAAAGACAGACAGCAAACTTAATCACCAGCAAAATTGTCCTGGACATAAAATTATGACCTTTTCATATATACAAACCCGTTATGTATTTTGGCATTTCCTCAGAAACACTCTGGCATCCTCCTTGCCATCCTCCTCTTCCTCTGGCTCTCTCTCCTCTACTTTGCCCTTTTGAAAAATATTGGTCTTTCCTGTAAGAAGGCCCAGCTGACTGATTTGAAAATTTCTGCTGCTGATGCTGCTGCTCAGAACGAACATCTCCTGGAAGGTTTAGAGATGAAAAGAGGTTAAAGAAATGTAACTGAAAAAGCCATAAGAAATCAGAAGAATTAAGTTCTTTCTTATAGGAGTAAATAAGAATTTTACACTGTCCTGCAGCAAGCCTACAGTAGATTAAGTAACTTTTGCACATTCTGAAAATGGTACCCAATCCAGACTTTGCCTCCAAGAGCCTGACTGAAATCAGTCCATGCAACATCAGTAGTGATTTTTATTATTGTCTAGTCAGGATTTAGTATCAAACCAGCAGTTATTTTTTCCTCTTCCCCCTTTTTTTCCTATAAGCAAACGTATTCTTGTAGGGCACTTTATAATAAGAGCACTTGGCAGTACTTAAAGTTGAAGAGGGCCATGAAGTCCATATTCAATGATTAGTGTATATTTACCCTAACTAACATTATATATTACTTTAGATTATTTCATATTCAGTTAAGTCTTGGTTAGGATTTCTAGTATACCTTGAGATATGGTTCTCAGGCTGTTCAATCTGGAAACCCAATTAAAAAGGGCCCAGACAGCCATTCCCACCACCCCACCCACTTCATCAAGATGAGTGCTTGAGAGAACATGGGACCATACAGTTCAGGGACTTCTCTAGTGAAAAATCAATCTGCATGCGCAGAGAAATGGGGTGAGACGAGCCTGTCCTTTCATCCCAAAAATGCTACCATTGGCATGAAGAACAGGCAGGAGCAGATTCACCTCCAGCAGCATCGATTTATGTGAACTAAAAACGGCAAAGAACCTTCTTTTTCCATTTCAAATAAGCAAGAAGCTGAAGTTTTATGTTCAGTAGTAATGCTGTTACAGCCTGCTGCAACCACACATCATGCAGAACTGCAGTAGTACAGCTAAAAAAGTAATTTGGTGTAGAAAACAGAAATCAGCTTTTATATAGAACCTGGGTTTTCCCTGTGGCTGAGAGCAGCACTGTCCAGGCACCGAGGTGAAGGTGAGAAGGAAATAGTTGGGAAAGAGGGATGGAAGCTGCCTCAGTCAGCAAATCTGCGTAGCTTTATAGTCCAAAATTAACTCATATCACAAACACACCCTCTCAATGGAGGAACTAAAAATTTTAATCAGAAGATAGAAGAGTGTTTCAAAAAGCAGTGAATGACTTAACATCTAAATAAAATTTAAATTATTTCAGCTTCTATGGATATCCATAGTTTTATAACTCCTATTTAGAATTTTTCTTTCTCGTTTCTACAAAATAGCCCTGTAAAACTGAGATACTAACACCACAGAAGAATGTTACATGGATGAAAATCCGCTCTATTTAGTAGAACAAAAAAGCATAACCACGTAATGTTAGAAGTTCCCTGCTACAAATAAAGTTAGAAAAATGTGTTTAATCTGGCAGTACTGCTGTAATGATATTCCAAAATCTTCAGACTGAGCATAATTTGCTATGTCATTCTGTCAGCTTAGGAACTCTTCAGTCACCTAAATACACTGTGACACTTTAGTATTTTTTTGTTCAACCACAAAGACGCAATTTGTCATCTTTTGAAGGCCTCACAGTAACAAGCCCTTTCATATGTGGTGTTTTTCGGTAACAATATACCTAAATTGGAGGGTGTGGGGTGGAAACTGAGGTCCAATTGAAGCATACAGGATGCAGGTCAAAAGACAGACAAAAAAAGCATGTGGCATACAAGCTGGTCTTCAGCTGCAAAGGTTACCTGTGTACAAAATGCTCCAGCAATGACCCAGCGACACTGCCATTTTAGGGACACGTCCAGCTGCCTCCTGCCAATACCCTTCCATAGATACAGGAGCCACAAGCCCCAAGAGGCAAACTGGTCGGGCATCCTGATCTGAGGGAAAATCAGTGCGTTTATCACAGCGCCAGAAGGCTAAAACAGCCTCTCCTGCAGCTCCGAGGTCTGACAGAAAAAGAGGGGGGCCGCTGGATGAAATATAACATCCAAATTCATTTTAAGACTAGGAACCACAGGGATTTGTTGTGTAATCGAATGGATGATACAGAGAAGCGCATATTCCCAGAGTTGTCAGGGTCGGAAAGGACCTCTGGAGATCATCCGGTCCAAACTCCCCCCTCCGTCAAGGCAGGATCACCTAGAGCAGGATACATAGGAACGCGTCCAGGTGGATTTGGAATTACTCTGGAGATGGAGACTCCACGATTCTCCCATATTAACAAGAATTCTGTGCTAACGGCATTCATGGCAGCACCAGGACTAAAGGAGTCTATAGCAGGGGACGAAGCCTTGGGTACTCCCACGGAGGGCACATCGGGGGCTGAGGGGAGGGGGACACCCGGCCGGCCGTACCTGGGGGCGGGCAGGCTCTGCTCCCGCCGCCGGCGAAGGGCCCCGGCTCTGCGGGAAGCGTCACGCTGGCCGGCTGGTTCCTCATCTTCTTGGCCCGCTTCTTCTCCCGCGCCCCAGACATCTCCGGCGGGGGCTGCCGAGCCTCTGGGTAGCGGGGGGAGGCGGCAGGGGCTGGCGGGCGGTGCAGCCACGGGCGGAGCGGGCACAGGCACCGCCACAGACCCAGCGCTCGCTCGCGGCGCGACCTCCACCAGCACACGCGGCTGCTTGCGCCCCGTACGGCACATGCGCATCATGCCCACCCACGCAGCTCCGAGGACTACACTTCCCATAAACCCCTGCGGGCGGAGGCGGACGGGTAGTGCGCCGGTGGGATCCTGAGGGAGGCGGGGAGAGGCGGGCACCGACGGCAACACCGGCACCGACGGCAACACCGGCACCGACGGCAACACCGGCA